GGTTGAAATCAAGACGAACACATTATTAATTAATTAGTTATCTCGAGAAAACGATCTTTGTTATGTCGAGATAACATAATTAATTCGTTATCACGAGATAACACTGCATTAAAAAAAAGAAAAATCCATGGCCGTTCTCGGCTTCCGTACGTTTTAGTAGTAAATTATTATTTATATGTATATAACCTCTGGAGCAGGATGATAATTTAACTTTGCATTAATTTCTGTGGGTGAAATAGTTTTATTTTTAAAGTTTAGATTCTTATTTGAGATCTAAACTTTAAAGACCTGAACACAAACTATATTCACATAACAACTTCTTAAAATGTGAAATGATCTGTTATCTCATCGGTATCAGGATATATAAAACCTGTATCGTTACAGCACAGAGTGGACAGAACAAGGCTGGTTCATTGGTGGGGGGCTCGTCCTGTCCTGACCTGCCCTCTATAGACTCCACAGAGGAGGAGGTGGGTGAGAGGAGGACGTTAGCCGAGCTGACGTCAATCACATAACACCTCTAACACCCTGCGTGAGACTGTGTGGTCCCTGAGCGGCTCCTTCAGATACACTGCTGCACCGTCACTGCAACAGCTTACAAACACAACATAATGCAGCAGCGTCTAATTAATGTGCAACACATCGTTATCTATCATTATTATAGTTCATCACGCTTCTGTCTGCCATATACTGCAGCACACATACACTTATATCAATATTTATTGTCATTTATTGGATTATAAGGCTTAAAACTGTTATTTTTCTAGTTTATTTTATATGTTTATACCTGTGTGTGTTTAGATATTGTAATATAATACATCATTTCACCATTTTATATTATTATTTCATTAATGTTGTGTGAGCACCTTGAGCAACAGAAATTAAGTATTTCTGATTCACTTTTTGCACTGTTTTACATGCACATTATTATTATTATATATCTAAACTGTATATTAATCTCTTCTAAAACTACACTGGTGTATATATTTTATCCTGTATAAAGGAAACTGCCTGTATGTGAAAACCTCCCTATAAAGCAGATGATTTGGACCAACTGTAGGTTAAATTAAACTATAATTAATGTTATTTAAGGCTGATTTGAACCTACCAGCACATTCTGAGCGGGTGATGGACTGAATCTGCAGCGTGTTCTGGGATTTCAACAGACTGTGGAGGGTTCTCACTATACCTGTGGAAGGAGAGGTCACCTTGCAGCCAACTTATACATATAAACATAAATATAAATAAATAAATATGTTGTTATATGCATGCAGAACACACAGCCTCACCAATCCTCCCATTCTGCTTTCTATCCAGCAGTTTGTGCGCACTCAGGTCTTTGTTCCAGTCCTCCTCGGCTTCCATGATCCGCCTCCTGCAGAAAGAGGCACAGAAACCGGGCTCAGGCGGCTCGTCATGGTCTGCAAGCCGAGCAACGCTTCACCTCCGTCGGACTGACATCGCTCCGGCGGCGGCCTCTCGGCGTGGACCGATTCTGGCTCCCTTAGCATCACCCGAGCTAAAACGTGATCATGTGTGTGTAACCGCGGTGCTGCAGCGGCGCAGTCGGCATCAAACCACCGGCATCCTGTGTGAGTCAGCGGCTGCACGACACCGGCGGACAGCGGCGGACTAAACGCGGAGACTTTGTACGGAGCTCCGGTGAGTCAGTTACCTGGTTAGCTCGCCTCCTTCTTCTTATTTGGGAGTTTTTTTAATGGCGGTTGTTAAACGAGCTTGAGGCGCATTGGCGCCACCTGCCGGACTGGTAGAGGAGCAGCAGGTTGACAGGAAATAAACAGAATAAAATCAATAAAGAGAAATAAATTCTCTGTTATTTACCGAAGCGTATTGCATTCACTTGAACATTTATTTTTTGGTTTGTTTTTCGGAGTATTTTTATTTTCTGTTTTTCGGAGTAATTTATTTTTTGGTTTGTTTTTGGAGTAATTTTTTCTGGTTTTTCGAAGTAATTTTTTTTTTTTGTTTGTTTTTCGGAGTAATTTATTTTTTGTGCTGTTTTTTCAGACCTAATTTTTTTTTTTTTTTTGGTTTGTTTTTCGGAATAATTTATTTTTTGGTTTGTTTTTCGGAGTCATTTTTTTCTGATTTTATGAATTTTTTTTTTTTTGTCTGTTTTTCTGAGTAATTTAGTTTTTGGTTTGTTTTCGGAGTCATTTTTTGGTTCGTTTTTTGTTTTTCGGAGGATTTTTGCTGAGTAATTTATTTTTTGATTGGTTTTTGGAGTAATTTGAGGCTTGAGGCGCATTGGCGCCACCTGCCGGACTGGAAGAGGAGCAGCAGGTTGACAGGAAATATACAGAATAAAATCAATAAAGAGAAATAAATTCTCTGTTATTTACGGAAGCGTATTGCATTCACTTGAACATTTATTTTTTGGTTTGTTTTTCGGAGTAATTTATTTTTGGTTTGTTTTTCGGAGT